GGGGGCAGGCCTGGATGGCATGTGGTGCTGGGGGATTGAACCGCGGTCCCTGTGCTTTGCCAAGCTTGTTCCAAGTAGGTGCCTTAGACCACTGAGCCATCTCGCCAGCCCCAGGAGTGATTCTATATTTACACTAAGATCTGAATGCAAAAGCATCGGGGCTGCAGTGCGTGGGTGGCAGAGCACTCCTGCATGTTCTGCTTCTCGGAGGGCATGATGCACCCAAAGCTGCATCAAGAGGGCTCTCCGAGTCAGGGTTCTGCTGAAAGCCTGCGTAGATTTGGGCTCATGGCTGCTTTCTAAGGAGAAGTTTCCAATGGATTCTCAAAGGTGTTTTTGAATAAAAGAGTAAAGAAAGTCTGGTGAGAACATGCAGAGGCTTGTAGTCAAGAACAGACCTCACTTCCTCATGCCAGCAAGTGGTACCTCTTCCTTGAGCTACAGCATCCGAGAGGTACTGTGGTGGGGATCTGTGAAATGATCCCGAATTGTCCTTCTTGTTTCAAAACATCCAAAGAAAAGGAAGAAGCAACCATTTGGGCTCACAATGACTCCTGGGTCCCTAAATCCTTGGTCTTTCAAATCACAGAGGAGTAGGCCGTCTTGAGGATATATGGCCTGTTCCTACCCAAAGGCTGTGACAAACATAGTCCCCTTAAATCATGGTCACATTCAGCTGCAAGGAGATGCGACTGACTACTCCCTCACTGTTTGTTATTGATTTTTCTGAATAAAAATAAAAAACATTTGCCAGGCACGGTGGTGGCTGGGCTGATGGGTTTAAAGCCATCCTGGGCTACAAAGTGAGTTAAGGCCAGCCTGAATTGCATAGTAAAACCCTGTCTCAAAAAGGTATAAATACACACACCAAAAATCCCATCAAATGAGTGCCTTATTTTTAGGTAATGTTATACTTGAATTCACATGACTCTTTAGATAATCTTTGGGACAACAGTGAGTAGCTCATTACAGTGCTAATTTAGAACAATGGAATACTTCCCCCAAAGCCTCTCTCCATCACAATGTACCACTGCAGTTATCTGGATGTTGTCTACATTGAAGGTAGAAGGGAAAGACAGAGAAGTGGAAGCCAGACAGCTGTCAAGAGTCTTCTAGGGACCTTTAAAAATAAAACTGATACTCATCTATCTAGAATGATTCTAGTTCTCTTAAGCAGAGAAAAGAAAATGAACTATGGAGGGGTGTGCTATGCCAGATTTGGATTTGAATATCAAACATTCTGAATTGCTCAAAACTACAGTAGAAGCACGGTGAACGCAGCTCATCCATGCACAAAACCACAAGCACACAATCACTGTCAATGATTTTAAGTAATGTAAGTAAGGACAGATTGGCAGATTTTCCTGGTTACACCATTTTTTTTTTTGGTTACACTTATGAGAAAACAATGACATCAGTAAGTATTCCATTTTATACTTTGCATGTCTTTGAACTCAAAAGTTACTGCCTTTGCTTTCAAACTTAAGATTCAGAAATATGCAGAATATTTGCAGTAAGAGATTAGGGAAATATTCTTGATTTTCAATTTGAAAACAGTAAATCATGACATTCCAACATCTACCCATGTTAAGTACAGATGGGGAGGTAGAAAGATACAGTCAATTATCACTTAAAAATACACAAAGACTGGACATGCTATATATATTTCTCTTTTAAAATGTAGTTTATATTATTTTTCACCAATCAAAACACACATATTTTATTATAAAACATTAGGCAATATTACTTTTGAGATATGCAATCTGAAACATCACACTTGTATTTACTATCAGCATGAAATACCACAGGAGTTACATCAGAAGTGAACCAGATGAACTCATATACTGTTACCATGATGAACATAGCATTCAGTCAGATTAAACCAATGTCCCATTCAGTGTCTTGGATATGGCCCGTGGGTGTCAGCAAGAGCTCCTGCCAAGGGCTTTCCCCTTTCAACACTGGGGCTCAGAGTTTCGTGTTCTAAAGATAAGGCCTGGCTCCATGTACAGGCCCAAATTGCTGGACACTATGTAGCCAGTGTTTCTAGACTTTCTCCTACCTGATAGGAGTCTGCCTACCCTTGGGAACCTGCATGTGAAACTGAGGCCCAGACATGGGAGGCAGTTACTTCCCTTTGGACTGAAAATTAAGCTAACAAAAGAAATAAACCTAGTCCAAATTCCAGGATAATCATAAATTACCTGGTTTATAAAAATACAAGTCCAAAATAGTTATTTCTAGGGTTGTGTACAATATAAATTATACAAAAATAAAATAGAAAAGATGAAAAAGTTGAGCACATTTCTCAGTTCTTTATCCAACATCAGCACTTACCCACAGAGATCTGGTCAAAACTGCTGCATTGCACCAGGACCCTGGCTAGTCTAGGCGCAGGAGGAGGGCCCTGAAACTGGGGTGAGGTATTTCTACAGAGCTCTGTACCTGTCTCGGCCGAAGGTGATGGAAGAGGGTCCCCTGAGAGACCCAGTCCACACAAACATGGGCTC